GACACAGAACGAGAAAGAGAGAAAAGGAGAAAGAAAAAGAGAGAGAGGCAGACAGACATACAGACAAATACAGAGGAAGAGAGAGACAGACACAGAGAAAGAAAGACACAAACAGAACACAGCCAAGCCACCAGCGACAGCCAGCCAAAAGGAAGTCCCACTCACTCATCACACACACACAAAAAAAAAGGGCAAAGACAATCACAAAATCAATCAGAGGAGAGACAAAGAGAGCGAGGACCCTTCTTCGGGGACTTACTTGTATCCCCTCAGCGTGCCGTGGTGGAGGTGGGGTTCGGGAGGAGACCAGCTGATCTGCACGCTGTCCCAGGAGAGGCCTGTGCACCTCACCTCTTGGGGAGCTCCGCCGGGTGCTGTCGGGAGGGAGGGGAAAGGGGAAAGGGGGGAAGGGAGGTTGGATGTTAGTTTTGATTTTGATGATTTTGTGTGGATTTGTTTAGTTTTTTTTGTTTTTTTTCTGGAGGATGGGGGTTCAGGAGTTGGGTGTGTTAGCGTTGGTGTTGTGGGAGATGGGTGTCGGGTAGACTGTGTTAATGTGTGTTTTGTTGAAGGGAATTGAATACGTATATGTAGGCTTGGAAGCGAGACTGATGTGTCCTTGTTTCTAGTTTGGGGGAAGGTTTTGCGAGTGTCGGAGAGGAGTGGTTTACATGTTTGCATAAATTCAGAACAAATCCAAGAAGAGTATTTCCATTGAAAGAGAGAAATAAATGAATAAGGATAAAAAAAACAGAGGCCCTGATTCCCTCCAGACAGGGCCTTCCTCACCGTCCTCTCTGGTGGTGACCGTCGCAGGGGGACTCAGCGGCCCCGCGCCCTCCGTGTTGTACGCCTGGACGACCACGTGGTAGTCGGTGTGCGGGTCGAGGCTGCTCACCGTCACACTCCACGTGCCCTCGCCCTCAGGCCCGGAACGCCCGCCCTCCGAGCTCTCCACCGTCGTGAAGTTGTACTGGGGGCTGCCGGAGGCGCTGCCGGGGAGACGCGAGAGTTCGGGCGTGTGACTGGGCATAAATTACGCTCGGGGCGTTGGAGGCGGGTATTGATTAGGCCGCTTTGGAGGGGCGCGCTATAGAGCTGGTGTTTTATTTTTTTAGCTTTATTACTTATGATTTGGTTGGATGGCTTGGTATACTGCTGTCATGGTTGCTATGGAAAGTATGTTACTAGGATTTACCAAAGTAACTTGATTTCATGAATGGTTTATTTCAATAGCGTGTGACCATTTTAGTATATCCTACGGCATCTGATTAAATGCAGGGACACCTTAGAGGGCAACACGCTTAGCTTAAAGCGCTGATTGGCTAGAGACGAATATATATGGTTCCTCTAATTCTGCGTAACCTTTTCTCTAAGCAATATTTTCAATGCTTTGTAATTTTCTGGCAATTATTATTGTAAAATTACAATACGTAATGGCGAAATGTAATAAGAATATAAAAAAAATATATGAGGTGATGTAACCCTCAATATGAACAACATGTGAGATATCTGAATTAGTCTAAACAAGGGATAAAAGAGGAATAACGAAGGAATATAAGAGTGAGGGCGTGGGGGTGGAGGCAATCCTGGGAAAAGGCTGATTCATCTTTATTTTCGCTTTTGCTATTCCTAATCTGTTATTTGTTTTTCTGTTACTTTTACAAAAGTTTGATTTCTTCCTCTGTCGTTTATCTTTGGAATTTAACTAGTCTTTCATTTCCTTAGATTCCGCCATTTTGAAGTATGTTCTTGGGCTCTTTGTATATCACGAAGATCGTATGCAAAAGATCACGTGGTCATGAAAATAGTATGGAAGAAAGAATCTTGATAAGTAAAGAAAACTGACGGTTTCAAACTTAAGAAGGCCCAAACACAGTCAGGAAAATAATAAGTTGATGTTAATAGACGAATGAACAGACTCACCCGCTCTGCAGCAGCACGGGCGTGTAGCCGAGGTAGTAGCCCAGGATGACGCCGTAGGCCCTGTCCCTGGGCGGGGGGCGCCACGACACCCTGACCTCCCTGGGGCCCGTGGCCTCCGCCCGCAGGTCCCTGGGGGGCGCGCCGGGCTTCTCGGCGGAGGTGGTGAGGCGCAGGTCCTCCGAGGGCGGCGACCTCCCCAGGTGGTTGACGGCGACGAGGCGCACCACGTAGTCGGTGGCCGGCAGGAGCGGCGACACCTCCACGCCCGCCGACACGCTCTCGCCCGACACGGACACCTCCCGCGCCTCGCCCCAGCCCTCGAGGGCGCGCCGGAACTGCACCACGTACGAGGTGGGCGGCGGGTCGGGGGCCGCCCACGACACGCGCACCGCCCGCGACCCCTCGCTCACTACGCGAAGGCCGCGGGGGGCGGAGGGGGGCTCTGGCGGGGGAGAGGGGGGGGGGTTAGCCTCTCTTCTCCTCTTCCTCCATTCTTCCTCAAGTCGTTTCAGATCAGCATTATATTCTCCTCCTCCTCCTCTCCTCCTCCTCATCATCATCTCATCACACACACACACACACATACAATATAAATATGTGTAGGTCTGTACGGTAGATAGTGAGTGCGTGTGTGTGTATGTATATACATATACATACATATATATATATATATATATATATATTATATATATATAAATATATAATATATATATATATATATATATATATATATATATATGTGTGTGTGTGTGTGTGGTGTGTTGTGTGTGTGTGTGTGTGTGTGTGTGTGTGTGTGTGTGTGTGTGTGTTGTGTGTGTGGTGTGTGTTGCTGTGTGTGTGTGTGTGTGTGTGTGTATTTATATATGTGTGTGTGTGTGTGTGTGTGTGTATGTGTGTGTGTGTGTGTGTGTGCGTGTGTGTGCGTGTGTGTGTCGTGTGTGTGTGTGTGTGTTGTGTGTGGTGTGTGTGTGTGTGTGTGTGTGTGTGTGTGTGTGTGTGTGTGTGTGTGTGTGTGCTGTGGTGTGTGTGATATGCACATACTTTGTATCAAATAACTTCACTTTGCGGAGAAAAACCACATCAAACTTCTATTAAAAATACAGCTTATACAATTTGTAAATACTATATTTTTTTTTTCTTTTTGTTCCTTTCATTTCCCTGCAGTGATTCTGGTGGTACGAAAAAAGGATGAAAAGAAGATTGAAAGAGAAACAAGAGTGTAATTTGCCGCACTCACAGTACAGCTCCTCCACTCAACCATGGAGGTATTTGACCTTAGAATTAGCTAGCAGTTTATAGATCGATTTTTTTTCGATGTTCCTATGAATATTATTGTTATTTATTGTTGTTACTGTTATCATTGTTTTATTATAACTTTGTCGTTTTTGATATTTATATGATATGATCGTTATTGCTGTTATTGTTGTTATTAAAACGTTAAAACTATTCAGCAGTCAGTAGGTTTATTTTTGTCGATATTACAGATATTGCATTTTTATCATCATCATCATTATCATTATTATTATTATTATTATTATTATTATTATTATTATTATTATTATCATTATTATTATTATTTTATATATTATTATTATTATTATTATATTATTATTATTATTATTATTATATTGTTGTTGTGTTTGTTGTTGTTGTTGTTGTTGTTATTTGTTGTTTTTGTTGTTGTTATTTTATTATTATTATTATTATTATATTACTAATGTTGTTGTTGTTATGATTATAATTTTTATTATTACTATTATTATTATTGTTATAATCATCATTATGATTATTATGATAATTATTTGGATATGGAAAATAGCCATAGAGACAAGTTAAACGGAAATATATGAATAAAAAACAAATAGATAACAGGCCCCAGAGAATTTATAGCAGAAAGGCAATTTAAAAGTAAAGTTTTATATAGAATGAGAGCACCCGCTGGCGTAGAAATATTGCGACACTTTGAGTTCATTTTTTTATAAACATTTTTATAAACATCGTCACGATATTTTTCTCTTAATCGCTGAACATTGATATAGTCGGAAATGGGCAGTCATATTAAAAGAGATAGATAGATATATAGAGGGAGGGAGAAGGAAAGGGAGAAGGAGAGGGGAAAAGAGAGGGGAAATGAGAGAGAAAGAAAGAGAGAGAGTGATGGAGAGGACGGGAGGGAGGGAGTGAAGGAGAGAGAGAGAGAGAGAGAGAGAGAGAGAGAGAGAGAGAGAGAGAGAGAGAGAGAGAGGAGAGAGAGAGAGAGAGAGAGAGAGAGAGAGAGAGAGAGAGAGAGAGATGATACACCTCACAATTCTTCGCAAGCAGGAATACCGCAGAAAAAAAAGGAAAAAAGAATTGACAAAGAATTGAAGTTGGAAAGCAGATTTTGAATAAATAGATAAGAACAAGTAACTAAATAACTAAATAACAACTTAATTACTCATGATTAAAGGGAAGAAGACGCCCATATTGACATGAAAATAGAAATAAAGCAATTAATCAGCTTGCAGCGTAATTAGATATATATGTTTGGAGACGATTAAGTATATTAAAAAGCGTACTGATAATAAAACACATATGCCATGAAACTATAAATAAAATGGAGTACAAAGGAAAAAAATCATATACCTAATAAAAACATTCTACATACAGCAACGCCCATTTCTATGAATATCTATTTTGATAACGATATATATCTTTTTTCTTTCTTTTCCTCTTTTCTCTTCTCTCTTTTCCGTCTCTTTTTTAGGGGGGTGGGGGATAAAAAATCAACTTGGTTTAGCACTGCAGAACAATCACTATCATATTAACAAGCATTCCTCACCATCATCTTTATCATTATCACTGTAATATGATTATTAATCTTGTGATATATATTCTTCACTATCATAACACCAATCCACCACACATTTGCCATAAAGAAACTATTTATCTATCACAATCACCGCATCACCAATATTATTCATCACACCATCACCATTGACCACTCATCACATCATTACACTGTCACATCAACACAGCACGCACCACCATCACACCATTGCACCACTTAACACCACCACCATCATACCAGTCATTATCGCAACATCACCACTTACCATACCACACTACCAATCGTCATCACACACTCACCATCACACTATTACCAGTCATCACCACTCACTACCATCACCACCACACCACTCATCACCCTCACCACTTCACCCACACATCACCTTCACCACACCATCACCCTCACTCACCACCACCACACCATTCATCACCACCACTATCATACCAGTCATCACCACTCATCACAACTACCACGATCACACCACACCACTCATCACCCTCACCCACACACCACACCCTCACTCACCACCACCACACCACTCACCACCACTCACCACCACTCACCATGGACATTGAGGCGAACTGTATGAGAATTCCTCCCGTAGGCGTTGTGGGCGGTGCAGGTGTAGATTCCGGCGTCAGACTGGGCGGCCGAACTCACCGTCAGCCTCGCCACCGTTTCTCCTCCAGAAGTCACCTTCACCGTCTCCTCGTATCTGTGGGGGGAGGGGGGAGGAGGAGGGGGGTCGGTGGAGGGGAGGGGGGGGGGTGGGGTGGGAGGGGAGGGGAAGGGGAAACAGGGGGCGGTTAATATTGGAGGGTTTGGGGGTGATGATGAGAATGTTGGTGGTGGGGATGGTGGGGGTGAGAATGGCGGTAATGGTGGTGGTGAGAATGTTTGGTGGTGGTGGTGAGAGTGGGGATGATGGTGAAAATGTTGGTGATGGTGTGTTGGTGATGGTGACGATTGTGGGTGATGATGGGGGTGAAAAATGTTGGTGGTGGTGATGGTGAGTATGTTGATGATGGTGGAAATGTTGGTGTGATGGGGATAAGATGTTGGTGATGATGGTGGTGAGAATGTTGATGATGGTGAGAATGTTGGTGATGATGGGGGTTAATTGGTGGTGGTGGGTGGTGAGAAGGTTGATGATGATGAGTATTGTGGTGATGGCGTTATGGATAATAATTGTGGCGGTGTTTGATTGTGGTGTTGAAGAGGATTGTTAGTGATAGTGAGCATTATGGTAATGATGTTGGTCATGATGATAATGAAGAGGTGTGCTGCAATGATAATAATGATAGCAATAAAGGTAATAATCATAATGATAGTAATGATGATATTAAGATGAATTTGGAAAGAAACAAACAACACATACTAATAAAAATCAGAATAAGTGGAAAAGAGAAAAATAAAAGAAGAGATGAAAAATAAGAAAAAGAAAAACAAAAAGAGAAAGAAGGAAAAGAGATAAATATTTAAAAAAATAGAAGAAGAAGAAGAGAAAGAAAAACAAAAAGAGGAAGAAGGAAAAGAGAAAAATATAAAGAAATAGAAGAAGAAGAAGAGAAAGAAAAACAAAAAGAGGAAGAAGGAAAAGAGAAAAATATAAAGAAATAGATAAAGAATTAAAAAAAAGAAAAAGAAAAAGAGGAAGAAGGAAAAGAGATAAATATAAAGAAATAGAAGAAGAAGAAGAGAAAGAAAAACAAAAAGAGGAAGAAGGAAAAGAAAATATAAAGAAATAGATAAAGAATAAGAAAAAAAAAAGAAAAAGAGGAAGACGGAAAAGAGATAAAGAAGAGAAAAGAAAAAAAAGCGGAAGAAGGAAAAGGGAAAAATATAAAGAATAGAAGAAGAGAGAAAGAAAACAAAAAGAGGAAAAGAAGAGAAAAAAAAGAAGAAGAGAAACTAAGAAGGCTTCCCTCACCTGACGGAGTGGTGGAGCGACGCCCCCCTCAGCGCCCGCGTCAGCGGAGCGCCTCCGCGGCTCCTGCCTCGCTTCGCGCCGCACGCAGACGTATTTTCTTAGTATATTATACATATATATATATTATAATATATATATATATTATATAATATATATATATATATATATTATGTGTTGTGTGTGTGTGTGTGTGTGTGTGTGTGTGTGTGTGTGTGTGTGTGTACATACATATATGTACATATATGTTTATGATATATAATTATATATATATATATATATATATATATAATATAATATATATATATATATATATATATATATATATATACATACACACACACAACACACACACACACACACACACACACACACACACACACACACACACACGTGTGTGTGTGTGTGTATGTGTGTGCATATACCCTATTAAAACAAATGAATAAGCATGTTCTTCCCAACCAAAGCAGCCACCGAGCACTCACATTGACGGCGATGGCGATCGTGGTGGACAGGTGCGTGACGGAGTTCGCGGCCTGGCACACGTAGGTCCCGGAGTGCTCGGGTTCGGCGCGGCGATGTACAGGGACCCGTTGGACAGCTGGACGGCGCGGGGGGACACGAGCTCGACGCTGCGGAAGGCGTCTGAACCGGTGCCTGGAGGAGGGGGGGCAGAGGGCACGGTGGGTTAGAGGTGGGTTTGGGGTGGGTCTTTTGGGGTGGGTGGTTAGTCTGGTTGAGTTGTCTTTTGGCTGGAGGGTTGGGGGAGAGGTGGGTTTTGGGTGGGTGGGTGGGTTGTCTTTTGGGCTGGGAGGTT